AAAGAAAGAAAGAAAGAAAGAAAGAAAGAAAGAAAGAAAGAAAGAAAGAAAGGGCTTACTTTACAAAACTGCTACTGCAGTAGAGGTTCTGAGACCCTCTCCTACCGGATTAGCCTTGACACTCGCGGTTCCTCCCTTGCTATGGAAGACTGAGCACTCCACTCAGCTCTGTAGCATGTCCTCACAGCGGCGTCAGCAAGGGCTAGAAGTAAACAAGCCTAGAGACCCTGTCTTCTCTGTTTTAGGGAAGAGCTCAAGGGACACGTGGGCAGCCTGGAGTGCCCGATACTATTTCTAGACTTGGGTAGTCTATGTTGGCAGTGCCTCTGCTTGCAGGTGATTTAGTAGGTGGTAGCCAGTGGAGTGTGCAGGCTCAGGTTACAGGAATTCCACAGGGTTCCATAGTGAGCGTGGTAAGGGAGCCTGAGGAGCCCATATCCTTTGCAGCAGTCTTCATGGGGCCGTAGACAGGGAAAGCTTTCTGTGTGAAAGCGCTGCTTTGGATATGGTTGGTCACCCATGTAGCAGGCAAAGGCTACAAGGAACAGGGGAGGCAGTTTTAGCACTGCATTTGGAGCCTTGCTGCAGAGGCTTAGCTCTGGTGGGTCAGCGGAGCATGGACAGTCTTGTTGCCATGAGGGTCACTGTAGCAGGCAGCCTTTTGGGAGCAAAACCACCTGAATACTGTGCTGTTGAGCTCTCCCTTGAGAGGATACACTTTGACTCACAGCTCCAGAGGTTCCAGTTCAGGGTTGCTCAGCCACTTTGCTTTGATTGCAGCACATCACGGCTGCTGTCTCCTTCAAGGGCACGCCCTCAGGGACTGAACACCCTCTCCAGGCAGCAATAGACATTTAATGCTCCATGGGGTGGAGCATTGCAGACCCACCTATAACTCTGGCACATGTAGCTGCTGAGTTCTACAGTAGGCCAGCTTCATGTGGAAACTGAAAAGCTGGATGTCTGACTTCATAGACGGGTCCTACCCCCAGGGCAGGGAGACCAGTTTGATTTTCCTTATTTTTGTTGAGAGTCTCGGTTGATAGGTCCACCTCTCCCGGGGGCCCTCTCTCTCACGTGGTCCACCTCTCCCAAGGGCCCTCTCTCTCACATGGTCCTCCACTCATCTCAGTCTCTTAGAAACAGCCCTCACAGACACTGGGGTTAGTGCTGCCCCAGCCCTCTAGCTGTTCCCTGACCCAGTCAGCCTGACACTGAAATTAATCTTCACAGTCAGCCATTTACATGTTTTGCTTGCACTCAGCAGTATGTTGCGTGTCTTTTACTGGGTTTCACACTATATCCCACAGCCAAGGTGGCCTTAGATTTATTGTGTTGCCTAGGCTGAACTTGTACTCGTGTTGGGAAGCTTGTCTTACACAGCCTTAACCGTGTTCTGACTGTTTATTACCTGTAGAGCAGTGGTTCTCAATCTTCTTAATGCTGTGACCCTTTATGTGTTCCTCATATTCTGGTGACCCCAAACCATAAAATTAATCTTGTTACTACTTCCTAACTGTAATTTTGCTATTATGACTCATGTGTAGGATATCTGATACACTATCCCCAAAGTGGTCACGTCCCACAGGTTGAGAACCACTACTGTAGGGGCTGAGGGACATTGACTGCTCATGTGCATTCCTGCTCCTCAGTTGCTTGTGCTGAGGCAGGCTTGGGTTCCTGTGGCCTGCACTCCCTTTATAGCTTGCTGAGGACCTCAGCTACCATCTTTTTGCCACCGTAGTTTATCATTGTTAATTCTAAGGGGAGGTTGCAGCAAGACGGCTCACTGGATTTGTGAAACTGGTCTCTGGAATCCACATTAAAAGTTGTAGGAGAGGCCAGGCGGTAGTAACAGAAACACATGTCCTTTATCCCAGCACTGGGAGGCAGAGGCAGGTGGATCTCTGAGTTCAAGGTCAGCCTGGTTTACAAGAGCCAGTTCCAGGACAGCTAGGACTGTTAAACAGAAAAACCCTGTCTTGAGGGGCGGGGAAAGAATAGGAGAAGTCGAGCATTGGTGGCACAGGACCACACAAAGAAAGTGGTAGGAGAGAGCCAGATGACACGGGCCTTTAATCCCAACTCTTGGGAGGCAGAAGCAGGTAGATGAGTTTGAGGTTAGCCTGATCTATATAGTGAGTCGTAGGAGTTCCAGACTACCTAGAAAGACCTTATCTCAAAAAACTGGAAGAAGAAAAGTGCCTCTACACAGCTGTCCTCTGGCTTCTACATACATGTCATGGCTCACCTGCTCCTTCTGGAGTATTGCATGTGAGCATACATACTAGGAACTTTTCTGAAGAGACAGAGTAGTAGGATTTGGAGTTGGGGCCTTTCCTGAGCTGCATGGCAAAATTGTCTGGGGGCTGGGAGGTTTCTTCTGAGAGGAAGATCTTCCCTTGGTATTTCCCAAAAGCTGAAAGATTACGTTTTCATGTCGCTGAGGGTGGACTGCAAGTGAATGAGCTGTGTCCTGCCCTGTCCTCACTGGCCTTTTCCATACTTCAGCCTTCTACACAAGCAGGTATGGCTACAAGATGTGTCTGCGTGTCTACCTGAATGGCGATGGCACTGGACGGGGAACTCACCTGTCTCTCTTCTTCGTGGTGATGAAAGGTCCCAATGATGCCCTCCTGCGGTGGCCTTTTAACCAAAAGGTATGAAAGCCAGCTCCAGGATCCTCAGGGGAATCTGTGAATAAGGTTGGGTACAACTTCCAAATAGCCAGGTAGTCCAAGACAAAGTCTGTCCAGCCTGGGCCTGTTGGGTGGTGGGCTCCAGTGGTTTCTTGCAGCTGGTGTGACACACACACCTGGCTTCATGACTGACGTGTGTGTGAAAGTCTTCTGGGGAAGTATGCTTCAGCGGAAGGAGTGAGGGTGTGACTGTTTAAAACCAGAGTCTGCCTTAATTAAGGAGCTAAACTTCCATAGACCAAGATGGACTGAGGACAGTCCCTTCACTCAGAGCAGGCGGTGAGGTCTAGACCATTCCGTGGCCTGCAGTCAGACCCCACTCTAATTGTGAAGTGCTTCCAGCAAACTTCAGGATCTCGGCAAGAAAATGTCTGTAGATGAACGCTAGAAAGGAGCAACACCCGGGAACACGGTGTGTAGTACTAAGCTTTAGCCTCGATTTCCAGATGCTACCAGCATGGGCATGTGCTGTTCCCAGGCGAGAAGCTGGACGCACTGTGGCCAGTATCTAGTCCCACTGCTGTGGGAGGCAGGATAGGACTGATGTGGGGTTTTCAGGTGACTCACGGGCACATGGTTTCTTTCCTTCTCAGGTAACATTGATGTTGCTGGACCAGAACAACCGGGAGCATGTCATCGACGCATTCAGGCCTGATGTTACCTCATCCTCCTTCCAGAGGCCTGTCAGTGACATGAATATCGCCAGTGGCTGCCCCCTCTTCTGTCCTGTGTCCAAGATGGAGGCCAAGAATTCCTATGTGCGGGACGATGCTATCTTCATCAAAGCTATTGTGGACCTAACAGGACTCTAGCCACCCCTACTATAGCAGCTCAGTGAGGAGCTGCCACACTGGGCCAGGGCCCTGCCACACATGGGTGGGCAGGCTTGGTGCGAGTGCTGGGAAGGGCCTCAGCCTAAAGCCAGTCACCAGCACATGGAAAGGCAGGAAGGAGCCTCCAGTTGGTCCTCAACTGGTAGACTGAGTGGACGGTCCATTTAGCTCAGGGTCCTTGTGGAACCAGCTGGTGGGGTCTTGTCGGCTTTCCAGTAGAAAAGCTCTTGCTTTTCTGTGTGGGGAAGGGAGAGGCCCTTGGCTGGGGTACGCAGAAAGAGCCTCTCGAGAGCTTCAGAGCTACACCAGCGGCAAGAGTTGACCTTGCCCACTCTGACTTGTGGAAAGGAGGTAGGGGCTGCGCAGGAGAAGGGCATCCACCCACAAATCATAGCCCAGGAAAGAAGCCCTCTGAGACGTAGGCACACTGGAGAGGAGCCTGCCTGGGCTGCACAGCCCTGCCAGGTGGCCTGTATTGAGGAGAAGTGATTAAACTATTCGGCGTCTGTGACGAGTGGTGTTTATCTGACTCTAGGTTGCCTGCTGGCTCCAGCCCAGGTAGTGGTGACCCTGTGGGGCCTCTGCTTTTCTCTCCACATTGGCTGTCTCTGTTCCTTATACCCTTTGAGCTCCCAAGGCTCCATGTGATCACTGCATCATGGGTCTGCCTGGGTAGAGGTAAAGGGCTGACATTTGGTCTGGTCCATGTGCAGGGTTTTTTCCTCAGGTTCTGGACTGGTTCGCTCTTTGGACTGGGGTTGGAGTGGAGACACTATGGTCTGGGTCCTGGGCATCTTTGTTAGTCAGAAGGGATATCCAGTCTCCCTCAGTTCATTTTCCAGTCACCACAGTAGGAAATGGGGAGGCACCAGCTCAGTGAGCACGCTGCCCTCCCGACCTGTTGGTGTTCTCTTCTGTCTGAGTTTCCGCACCAAACAGAAGCAGCATGGGATGGTATCATGGCAGAGAACTGGCCTCACCTGACGCCCTGTGGCTTGCTGGTGGAGGACACAGCTTGTCCTTTTCTCCTGCGTTCCTAAGCTGCCTGTCACCTGTAGCCCCAGGAGAGGTGGGGTTGTATGGTTATCCCTTAGGTATTTTGTACTTGCTCCGAGAGAACTGCATCAAGGCCTTACAGCATATAGCATGTGGGCAGTGCCTCTCCCTACAGCTTTTCACGAGGGCTGTGTGTGACCTGTGTGTCTTATGACTTGTACTTCTCTGAAGACTCTGGGCATCTTTACCAGATTATTGCTCTGGGATTTCTCCATAGGAATAGGCCATTTCTGTCCATTTTTTAACTTACTTTTTTCTTGCTTAGTAAAAGTTTCTGATCTTTCTAGTCCAGCATGGTGGTGCACGCCTTTAATCCCAGCACTTGGGAGGCAGAAACAGGAGGATCTCTGAGTTCAAGACCAGCCTGGTCTACAGAGCGAGTGCCAGGACAGGCTCCAAAGCCACACAGAAAAACCATGTCTGGAAGAAAAAAAGAAAAAAAGAAATTTCTAATCTTCTATCATTGATCCTTCATTGTGTTTGATCTTTTTTCTCTAAGACAAGGTTTCTCTGTATAGCTGTTATAGCTGTCCTGGAACTCGCTTTGTAGATCAGGCTGGTCTTGAATTCAGAGATCCGCCTGCCTCTGCCTCCCAATGTTTGAACTTTCTTGACGTAGAAAAATTCAAAGTTGAGACGATCAGTTAAATAATGGTTTTAAAGTCTGTTTCAAACAGTTGGTTTCTATGTTTAGCAGTTCATTTGTTTATAATGTGTGTGAGGTTTTTTCTCTAGAAATGTGTCCATTTTAAAACTAGAATTAATTAGGTAATTCACACTGAGGCTGGTATTTTGGCTTTTGGAGGCTGGGTTTTTTCTATGTAGTCCTGACTGTTCTGGAGCTCTCCATGTACACCATACTAGCTTTGAACTCACAGAGATCTGCTTGCTTCTGCCTCCTAAGTGAGATTAAAGATGTCCACCACCATGCCCCGCTGGTAATTTTTTTGTTTCGTTTTGTTTTTCAAGACAGGGTTTGGAGCCTGTCCTGGACCTCGCTCTGTAAACCAGACTGCCTCAAATTCACAGAGATCCACCTGTTTCTGCCTCCTGAGTGCTGATATTAAAGGCGTGTGGTGTGCCAGCACCACTCAGTGTGGTAATTTTTTTTTTTTAGGCAGTCTCTAGTCTGAGCTGACCTCTAACTCTCCAAGTAGCCAAGGATAACTTTGAACTTCTGATCTTTCTGTCTCTGCTTCCCAAGTGCTGGCATTCAAGTGTCTGCCATTGTCTCTGGCTTATGTGGTATTGGAAACTGAACTCCAGGCCTCCTGCAAGCTCTCTACCAATCTCAGCCAAACTGGTAGATCGTTCCACCGGAGTTAAAGAGAAGTAGAGGGGCTGCAGGTGTAGTATGTGGTAGAACCCACTTGTCATGCACAAGGCCCTGGGTTCCTTCCTACTGTGTGTGATTTCAACACATAGAAGATGGAATTGTGGTTGGCAAGAATAGAAAGGTATCCACAGAGGGCTGGGCATGGTAGGCATGCACCTTCAGTCCCAGCACTCAAGAGGCAGAGGCAGGTTGGATCTCAGTGAGTTTGAGGCCAGCCTGGTCTACAGAGTGAGTTCCAAGACAGCCAGGGCTACACTGAAAAACCCTATCTCAGGAAAAAAAGAAAAAGAAAAATTTAATACCTAGATAATGTTTTCGTAGATGAATGGAACACATTTATTTTTTCCGAATTGAATATTTTATTAGCATGGTAGTTGTCTTTTTAACATGTGCACACACACTCACACACTCAGAATGATCTGCCTGGGGGGAAAAAAAGACTAACTATGCCTAACGGGAAAATGAAAAATAAAAAAATTCCTGTAGGTTTTCATTATTGTAGGCAATTATGTCCACATCACTTACAAAGCTATTGCCAAATCTGTCCAAGGAAGCAATTTGAAAGGGGGACAAAATCTTGGGGAAAATTCAACAGTGGCTTAGCAGAGCTCTCAATATGAGAAAGCTGACATAATGTGGACTTTTGCTGTGAATTTTCTTTGCAAAATATGGGGAGAGGTTTGTCAATGGGCAGAAAATAAGAGAAGGTGGTGTGGTGGTGTGAATAGGCTTTTGCAGTCCATATTGTGCAGGGTCATCAGGAAAATGCTTAGTCTTCCTCTGGAACCAGTTTCAGAGCTTTTCCAGTTGCAGTGGTTGCAATGGTCTTTCTGTCACTGTGTCTTTCACACCCTGAATGCTTGGCTCCTGAATACATCCTCTCCGTGAGCTGTGAGATGGCCAGTGATGGATTCTTTAGGACTGTTATGTGTGCCGTCTTTAGTAAAGGGAAACCTATATTTGAAGTCAACAAGCAGGATGTTTACAAGAGCTTCAGTAGACAGTTGGATCAGTTGAGCCGTTTAGGATCTAGTTCACTTACAAGTATATCTGAGGAAGTTCGTGAGCATGTCAGACTCTTGCTGAATGTGATCCCAACTGTAAGACCTGACGCGGATCAGATGACAAAAATTCCCTTCTTCGATGATGTTGGTGCAGTCACACTTCAATTTTTTGATAGCTTATTCCAAAGAGAGAATCCTCAGAAATCCCAGTTCTTCAGAGGATTGCCGAAGGTTCTGTTGAAGCTGCCCAAGCCTGTCATTGCGCAGAGAACTCTGCCTTGTTTGACTGCAGAATTTGTAAATCCTGATATGGTGCCGTTTGTTTTGCCCGATGTTTTACTGATTGCTGAGGAGTGCACCAAAGAAGAATATGTCAGACTAATTCTGCCTGAACGTGGTCCTGTGTTCAGGTCCTGGCAGGAGCCAGTCCAGATTTTGTTAATTTTTCTACAAAAAATGGATTTGCTTCTAACCAAAACCTCCTGACGAGATAAAGAACAGTGTGCTGCCCATGGTCTACAGAGCTCTGGAGGCACCTTCCATTCAGATCCAGGAGCTCCTTCTGAACATCATCCCAACTTTTGCAAATCTCATAGACTTCATCCATGAAAAATGCTTTGATTCTAAGAATTAAAAATGCCTGTTTACAAGCATCTTCCCTTGCTGTTCGTATGAATTAATTAGTCTGTTTAGGCAAGATTTTGGAGAACTTGGGATAAGTGGTTTGTACTTGATGATATCCTACCCTTTTTACAGCAGATTCCCTCCGAGGAGCCTGCGGTCCTCACGGGGATTCTAGGTATCTATAAGTGTACTTTCACTCATAAAAAACTGGGAATCACCAAAGAGCAGCTGGCTGGAAAAGTACTGCCTCATCTCATTCTTCTCAGTATCAAAAACAGTCTTAACCGCAATCAGTTCAGCTCTTTCATTGCCGTCATAAAGGAGATGCTGAGCAGACGGGAGTCTGAGCACAGAACTAAGCTGGAGGAGCAGAGGTCTTTGGAGATAGGAAATCAAATGCTGCTTCCCAGGAGACGAGTGTTACACATGCCGGAAGTCAGATAGACAAGGTCTTCAACAACATTGGAGCAGACCTAATGGGGTGAATCAGAAAATAAAGATGGGCCTCATCTCGTAAGGAGGGATGAGGGAAGTCTTTAAAGGTCTCCAGACAGATGGTCCCTGCTGTCCTCAAACGCCCAATGCATACTTGATCTTGTTTGACAAAACGAGGTTGAGTCTTACTTTTTTCTCCTGATTTTTTTGTCTGCCAAGCAGATTAAGGCTGTTATTTCGACCTCCTCGATACAGGTATGAATATGCAGCACTGCATTGTACCCTGGGTAGATGATGATGGATTTGTACTCTGATCACTATCTGGGCATCAAATGTATGTCCAGAATGAGAAAGATTATTAAGATCACAAAGCATGTGTCCTGGAAGAATCTCTTCAATCCCTTTCAGTCTGATTTTGAGGTTTTTCACCTGGAGCTACAGAATCTGTTTCTACATCATCAGGAAGTCTTCCAAGAACTTCCACGTTGTGCTTGTTGGGAATCCTCACTAGCTGCTGGCCTTCACAGGTAGATCCAGATTCCAGCTTTCCCAGGACCACAGTCCCCATATCATGTACCAAGGACAGAAATCTGATTGCTCTTTGAGATTTGCTCCCTTCAGTCCTGAGCAGGGCATAAAATGAATGTCCTTTTTGGGACTGAAGCCAACTTTTTTCAAAAATGGCACTAGTTCTTTCCATTCTTCAGACCTCGCTGCTCCAGCTCACTGCTGGATCGTCCATCTTATCAATCAGCAGTTGAGTGTTTGACACCCACTGTCACTGCCAGCATTGATGTTCTCTTGTCTGTCCTTCAAATCCAGTTTCAAACTCTCCTTTCCTGGCTGAGATTACCAGTACAGCCAAGTCAGCCTAAGAGGCACCACCAATCATACTTGGGACAAAACTTCTTATGGCCAGAAGCATCTAGAATTGTAAAATGCTTCTTTTCAGTTTCAAAATAGGCATGACCCACTTCTACTGTTTTCCCCATGTCTCGTTCTTCCTGGTTTGTGTCTAAGGCCCAAGACAAGTACCAAGTTTCTCTTTTTTTCTTTAGCCTCTCGTTCGTATTTCTCAAGTGTCCTTTTGTCGATCATTCCGGTCACATACGTTTCTTGTCCTCCAGTGGTTGACTTGTCTGCATCAGCATGCCCAGTGAACACGTCATTTACATGTTCTTTCTTAGGAGCACCTGGTGGTGCCACCACCGACTTAGGTTTTGGTATTTCTTCCTCCTCCATCATTTCTGACAGCTTGTTTTCTTTTTTAAAAAATAAATGTGAGTTATCACTGTGTGAAGGTTCAAATTCAGCTGTTAGCATGGAAACCTTTCAGAAACTGTTGTAGAAAATGGAGAGACAGAAATGTCCCCAGAGGAATCATGGGAGCACAAAGAGGAAACGATTGAAGCAGAGGCAGGGGTGGCTCCTCAGGAGATGGAAGGCCACCAGGGGAAAGTGCCCAAGAAATGACGGCTGGCTACAGATACCTTTTTTGTTTGTTTGTTTTTGTTTTGTTTTGTTTTCATGACAGGGTTTCTCTGTAGCTTTGGAGCCTGTCCTGGAACTAGCTCTTGTAGACTAGGCTGGCCTCGAACTCACAGAGATCCGCCTGTCTCTGCCTCCCAAGTGCTGTGATTAAAGGTGTGTGCCACCACCACCCAGCTTACAGATGCCTTTTAAAAATTGCTTTTAATATGTGTTTGGTGTGTATGGATGGAAGTGACTTTGAAATGGGGTAATGGGTGGAGCTGGGAGGACTAGAAAAGGCCTGAATTTCCATCAGGTGTCCAGGGAGACTGGCCATGGGAATATTTGCAGTGTGTCAGGGCTGCCTCCTGGCCACCGTGTTGCAGGTGCATCTCATGCAGCAGCTGAGCCATAGGGACTCCAGCTAGCCAGGAATGTTGCAGAGGCAGAGGTAGAGGGCCCTGGACATTATAGGGGCAAAACCACTGCAGACATCAGGACAGCACCCAGAGCAACGCCTGCCCAGGAGAACTGCAGTCAGCAGTCCTGCTATGAGCTCCTAGAAGGCAAATGTAGAACAACTCTCCAGTACTAGAATTTCACAGGGTTTGCCCTGTTGGGTTTTGGGTATTCTGGGGCCTGGTTCTTGCTGTGTCTCCAATGTTTCTCCCTTCTGGAATAAACAGCCTATATGATGTCTGCCCCACAGTGGTACCTTGGAGATGTTTCTTTTATTTGTCTCAAATTTTCTAGGTGGCAGGGTATTTACATCCTGTGAACGTACCTTACCCAAATTTGTTTCAGACAAGACTCTTGACTGGATCCACAACTTGTGAGCTGGTATTAAGAATTAAGATTTGGGGCTGGGCAGTGGTGGCACACCCCTTTTAATCCCAACACTCAGTAGGCAGAGACAGGCGGATCTCTGTGAGTTCGAGGCCAGCCTGGTCTACAAGAGCTAGTTCCAGGACAAGCCCCAAAGTTACAGAGGACATTCTGTCTTGAAAAACCAAAAAGAAAGAAAGGAAAGAAGAAAGGAAGGAAGGAAGGAAAGAAAGAAGGAAGGAAGGAAGGAAAGAAGAAAAAGAAAAAGTAGAGACTTTAGGGGCACGGAGAGATGGCTCAGTTGTTAAGTGACTGCTTTTCCAGAGGACCTACGTTTGAGGACCACTACCATATGGTGGGTCAGAGCTCTCTAACTCCTGTACCCTGGGATCTGATGCCCTCTTCTGGCCTTCTCAGGCACTGCATACGCCTGATACACCAACATGCATACACCCATACATATAAATAATTTTGTTTTCAGAGACAGAATTTCTCTGTGTAGCCCTGACTGTCCTGGAACTAATTCTGTAGACCACGCGGGCCTCGAACTCAGAGATCCGCCTGGCTCTGACTCCAGAATGCTGAGATTAAGGTTGTGTGTCTCCCAGCAAAGTAATTTTTTAAAAATAAAAGATTTGTGAACTTTTTGGATAGAAGGAATGTTTTTGTTGTTGCTTGTTTTTCAAGACAGGGCCTTGGCTGCCCTGGAACTTACTTTGTAGGAAGAAGGTTGTCCTCAAACCACAGAGATCTACCTGTTTCTGCCTCCCAAGTGCTGAGATTAAAGGGTATGTGCAACCTAGCCCAGTTAAGATTGATTTATTTTATCTATGAGTGCTCTACCTGCATGCACATCTTTATTCCAGAAGAGGGCATCAGATCCCACTAGAGATTATTGGGAGCCACCTTGTGGTTTCCAGGAATTGAACTCAGAACAAGAGCAGCCAGTGCTCTTAACTGCTGAGCCATCTCTCCAGCCTCTGATGTTGAAATTTAATGATCATTGTAACAGTATTTAGCGAAAACAAGGGAGTAAAGGCCCCACCTTCATGGTGCCATTATAGAAAGGTG